TTCGGAGACTTCAGCGGATGGTTTGCTCAGTCGTCATGGAAATGGCTCATTTGTCATCATGTGACCTAAGTGTATGGAACATTGATCACTTGGTAACAGACAGTTATAGAAGCATCTGCCATCTCCTCTAAGCTCCTATCACCATGTGACTGCAGTTTCATACATGGGCCATGTCAACTCCCTCCATCCACTGATGAATACAGTGTGATGCAGCTGAAATACTGCAACGGAAAAAGTGGACCTTGGTCACAGGACTGATTTTTAAATGTAAGAAATGATCTATCACGCTCAAAACTAAAATACAAACACTGATGAAAAAATATTTGTGAAGTATCTTACAGGTGAAGGTTTCCAGGAGCAAAGTGAACGTTTGAAGTGATCCAATGGGCAGAAAGATATAAATGTTTTAGTATTAACTCTCTTTATTAGCTGCTGTTTAGATTTATAGTTTTCTCGTTGCATTTTACTCTAATTCATACATATACTTGTAATGTGGAAATAGTATTCTGATCAAAATAACTTAAACAAGAGATCAGCTGTTCAAATCAAAGCAATTTCTTCATCCGTGAATGGACGTAGCTCAGTTGTCATCACATATCTCTCCACCTTCTGCTGTCATCTGAACAAACCTGACTTTGTGTTAAGAGGATCTTGTGAAAACTAAAAACAAAGTTTGTTTGCCATAGATAAGAAAGTGATTTCCATTCGGGCTAATTTGAATTGAGAAACACAGCTTTTGTCCATTTGCTGTAATAAAGGTGCATATTCTGACATGAAAGGTGCGTGAACAAGGTAAAAATGACTTTTTCACTTCAAGGGGAAGTTCTTTCATAAGCTGCAGACACGTGAGCACATTCCAGAGTTCAGGTTTGGAGTTATTTCATATTTACCAGCTCGTGTGGTGAGGCAGATAGCTGATTAATTAAGTCACAGTGGATCAGTAAACAGAGGGATTCCTGTGCCTCTCTCTGCCAGGTTCTCTCTCTGCAGTGCTGCAGGCGAGAGGCTGAAAGAGAAGTGCAAGTGTCAAACCTCCAAGCACATATATACCTTAATCCTCCCTCTCCACCACCCAGCCCGCCACTACCCCCCTCATCACTCCACCCAGAGATCACCCACATGTCGCAGGTTGCAGAGTTGCAAACGTACAGGAGTGGACGTGACTTGATGCTGGAAGAGAGGGGAGAGGAAGCGGAATCTGGATTCCTGGGGATTTATTTGCATGAACGTTTGAATGATGGAGGGCTGGGAATGTTATTTGCCATTAAATGAGCAGCTCTTATTTCACCGTTGCATCTATCTAAGGCAGTGAGGAAGTGCATCAGCACAGATTAATGGATGATTGGTTATCAAAGTATCTTGCCAAAGGACTTTGAAAATTAGCCAGCTGGCTAACACTGGCACCTTTACAGAAATCTTGATTAATGTGTGTTGTCCTTACAAAAAAATAAATGGGCAGATTACAATCAGGAGAGCAGGTAGAATATGCTGCGGGGTGATGAGGGCTGGTTGCTAATAACGTGTCTGTGTTTTGATAAGAAACCTCATTTGAACTGTTCTGATGTCCTCATGTTCTGGGGAGGGCAGATCGTCACAGGCATTTTAAAACTGCTCAAATGCTAATGTACAGTGGCAGAAGTATTTGTACATTGTAGCGCACAACACTTAACACTGACTTGAACAAGACCTCAATAAATCAACCTCTGCAGTGTCTGTTTGAAACGTTGCCTGTTTGGAATGAGCTTAGAATTATTCCCTGGTATTAATGCTCACTAATGACGAGGAGTAATTACAACATAACAGGCTTCACACATACTGTTAGAGAGCTTCTTTTATATAGTCTGTGGTGCAGACATATCATTCATCCTGCCTGGTTTATGTGCTATAGATTTTGATGTTTTTCATAACATTTAATTGGATTTGCTTTATACTGCTCATGCATGTCGAGTATTTCAGAGGACTGTTAAGATCTGTTTTGATTTGCGGTTTGACCCAGTAGTCAACCACTGCTGTGGTTTATCTGTGGACGTAGAAGAAGTTTCAACTCACCTGTTTATTCTAATTTTAATATTGGAACATGTTGCGTATCCAAATCACACCAAATTCAAAACTGCACTTCAGCGGGCTCCTAACAACAAGAGTGCAAGACCTAAAAGCAGTTGGCGAGATATATATTTGGTCAGGCAGACATTATCATGACGTCAGGATTATTACAAACTGGGTGAATTCTACTGTAACTCTACTGTCCCTGCTGGTTAAACCCAGAGACTATACTACGATGATGTCACACTTTTAGAACATTCAACAGTTAAAAACGGTGGAACATCAAAATGTTCCTTTGTGGTTGTTATGAGTTTTTCTACAGTCATCTCTGTCTGACTCACTGCGCCACATTCAGCTCTATTGATGTATCATGATTTTACCATGCAGGGAAGGTGATGGAAAACACCCCAGCCATTTGCATCATGGGATGTGTAGGTTCCAGCACTTTACAACTTGGCCAACACTGGGAAACTTAGAGTCAATAAATATAAAAAAGAAATTAGTGTTTAGTGTTCTGGCCTGTGTTTATTGGATGCTGTCACTCATAGTTAACATTCTTGTAATCTCATTGGCTATCGACTGACAACAAATGAACCTCTGCGGTCAACAGACAATATTTTAGGTCTCTCCGTGTCAACCTCGTGCCCCCCCCCCCACACAAGACTCCTTCCTCTGATCACAGTCCAACTAGTTTCTTTTACCACAAGAGTCGGATGTTTCTCCACATAAAACCCAGACAGTGATACTTTTTGAAGGTGTTTAAGGTCTAGAAGACATTTTGGTTAATCTCTATGAACAGCTATCTGGACAAATAAATTACAAAACTGATATTCAATACATTCTGGTCATTGTGTTGCAAATGTGTTGTTTTTCACATGGACTATTTACCTGTGGGAAACAAAAGCCTGCACAAACGTGATTGGTCCAGACCCAAAGTCTTGTCCCTCGTCTAAAGATTCTGCACATTCACATGTAGAAACTGTTTTATAAAGATAAACACTCAGGTAAATGTTCCCAGGTTATCACAGTTTAGTTTCGAAGATGTTTTACGTTAAGACTTTTGCTGCCGTTCTGCTTTGCTGACCTCTATAAACCCACTATTTTAGAAATCTCAAACATGATCTTGAACATTGATTCCAATCCAACATTCCAACATTGTCAGATTATTTGGATGAGTAAAACAAAAGTTTTAAAAGCAGAAGTTTATAAAGTAACTGAGTAACTCTCCTTCAGAGAGTCTGTTGTTGGTAGGGAAGCATTAGCTGTAAACATTAAACGTTATTATGGTTGTCGGTCAGTCTGTGATGCTGGAGACCAAATGAAAGTATGAGAAAGGAAACAACAACCAGTGCTAATGAACCCAAGGGCGGAGTCCTTCGGAGTTTTGATTCTTTACTTCTTGAGCACAGAGAGAGGCAGAATTTAATTAGAGTGAATAAGGTGAATCTTTGCTCCGATAAGTGAGGATGGGACACTCTTAATTGCAGCCCTACTTTGTAATTTAGGCTGATAAGATGGGAGATACCTTCAGTGAAGAAGGTCGCTAAGAGGGCTAGAAAAACAATCTGCAGGAGACCGAATTTGCATTTGAAAAGCGAGGTGGTGCAGAATGAAACTGTTCTAACACACTCTCACAGCAACACAGAAACACTTTCAACATCCAGTGGGCTGAATGCTACACACTGAGAGTTGACGTCAATTTTTAAAGAACTGAATGAAGCATGCTCTCTCTTTCTCACACACACACACACACACACACACACACTACTGTGATTCAAATACACAAAAAGATACACGTTCTAATCAGCATGGAGGGCATGACTTTGGACTTGTTTGTGTTTTATGCATAACAAATGACGTGCATTCAGCGACATGTTGTTCATACAGGTAAACCACCATGTTTGTGTGTGTGTGTAAACATCTGTAAAGTAAGGAAAATATGCTTTAGTTTTCACTGGACTTTCAGAAATTGAGTTAATTGGAAATAAATTGACCACATACAGAATCTTTATGCCACGCTGTCGATACTCTGGCTTTACATAGGTACAGAGCCGTTCTTGGCGAGCAGTTTCATGCTCAAGCAGTGCGAATAAGAAGCAGTCAGCCTCTGATCCTGCCTTTATAACACACTCAAGGAGTCATTTCACACAAAGCCGAACATGATGGAAGGTCAGGAGGAGAGACACGCGCTACTCATTTCTGACACTGTGCCACCACTCTCACCACAAAGTGCCTCGTGGTGAGAGTGTTTTCTCTTACTGATAAACACTCCACATGAAACCATCAGACTGCCCCCACCAGTGAGAGGAGGGGGAGGGCCTGTAGTGAAGGTTTACATCACACATCCTGTTTTAAGATGTATAAACAGTGTGCGACTTTAAAAGCGTTGTTGTTAAATCCCACCTCACACAGTAGGAGAGCGGAGCCGCCTGAGATGCAAAGCCTATGCTCACAATTCATGCGCTCACACTGTCCCCTCCAAATATCTGTCACGACCTGATTTCTCACACAGGACCCTCTGATTGTCTAACATATACTGGTTAACTCCCAGTGCAGTGCATCTTAAAGAGGTCTGGCACACAATGTCCGAACAGCGGTGAGGTTGAAGGGTCCACTTTGAGTTTGCAGTGACATTACTTTATGCTCTCATGTTTAACACATGTCAGTGTCAATCATATTTGATCACAGACTGTAATTATGATGCAGATGTGAATATCTCCAGCTGTTACAAGGTACCTGCAGACAGCAGCTTGTTGCTCAGTCACATTTCCATGTATAATTCAAATTAAGATTTTCATAGATTTTGCAGAATGTGAAGGTCAGTCCTCCAGTTTCCCAAAATGCTGAGGTGATAAAGGTCATCTCAGCAGACAGAAAATTAGGATAATCACAGAGTTATTATGGCTCGAACAGACACACGGAAAAAGTTGGAATGATGTCCAAATTAACAAAGGTGGCCTTGTTTTAACATTTATTTACAACAATTATATGTCACACACAATGATCAGCTCAACTAAGAGAAGTATTCCAGTGTGGTGGCTTTGTTTTCAAAGCAGTAGAAATAAATAAACGAAAAGTGTAAAGTGTATGACCAGTTCTGAATGATCATATCCCCGGTGTCCTTGAGAAGCTCATGTCAGCCGTCGATACCAACCCTGAGGTCTTCAGCCCACTGATGCAGACGTCTTGTTCTAATTCTCTCTCCATCAGCGTCTTCTTTGAGTATGGCTTCTGTTTTTCATCCTGAGATATTTGTATTCTCTTGGTTCTTATGAGTTTCATCGGGTGTTAGAAACATCATCAACTCTGCCCCTCGCTCCATGTGAATCTTGAAGGTGCTGCTGGAAGCTCAGTGACGTGGTTGCATACATGCGGTGGCTTTTTGATGTAGGTAGTAAAGTTAGCTGGTAGCAGCTTGCTGCTAGACGCTAGCTTACTACCTACTATTTAGCAAACTACCAGTTAACTAGCTGATGAGCTTGACCACTAAGCAAAACAAATATCATCATGGCAAATTCAAGGAAACAATCTGTTACAACCCATTTCTGTCTGACAGTTAACTGAGTCTGTATCGCTTTTATGGAGAAGTTTATAGCTGGGTATCAAGGTTACGTATTAATGCACTAAGATCACATCAGCATTGTCAGTCTGGTTTGCTCTTAGTCAGAAGTGTAAACTTGTGAAACTCAAAGCAAAAGAACTCCGGTGAAATGAACTGATTTCAGTCCAAAATGCTTGTGATGTTGATCACATCTTGAATGTGTTTAGACAGAAACTGCTAAACTGTCTGTCTTTATATAACAGCCACTGACTGTACAGGTGTTTCTATTCAGCTCAGACTTAAATACCACAACTCACCAGGAACTCCAGCTCTGTCATTTTCCTTCACTTTCTCTCGTCTCTGTTCATTTATGAAGTAGGTTAATCAGGCTGAGGGATAGTTGATCTGATATTTGATTCAGGATCTTTCTGACCACCCTGGTCAGCTGTGTAACCTGCAAACAAAAGAATTCTAATCTTCTGAAGAAACAATTTTAAAACTTCCCGCACTCTGGAACCTTAAACAAAATGATATTTACAAGTGGTGAAACTCATAAAGGCTATTGTATTTACAGACATCAACCTCCATCCCTCGTTCAGACCTATAATGTTGAGGTACACTGGGACTCTAGGCCCCAGCCTGTAGCGGAGTGTCCAGAGCTTTAATGTGGACACTGGGCAGAGTGAACCAAGCCAAGGGAAGCTCTCGTCCAGCACTGTCATCCTGGAACTTGATATTAAGGTAGAAGTCTCCAGTGTAGAGGAAAAGCAGGGCACCCACACAGACGGAGCTTTCTTTGGGTTTAACCTGGTGATGGAGAGGAGACAGACAGAATCATTAGCTGTTACCTTCCAATAGTCTCATAATGAAGCTGGCACTCTCAGGCAGACTGAGACCAGCAGGGGAGTAGGTTTGAAATGGGCTGTGGCTTTGATGAAGGCATACAGACAAATTTTCCACAGAGGAACAATTCCTATAATAATGTAGTTCAAACATTTAAAAATATAGTGTATTATATTATAATATATAATTCATTCATGCTTTCATCTGACTTTTACACTATCAGCTTTTTTTCAGGCATCATCAATCTTTTTTCAGTTGCCTCGAGCTTGTTCAACGCTCAGGAGTGACAATGTCTTACGTTAAATGGCTCCTGTCTACGATCCGTTCTCTTGTGAGGTTCTTTTTCATTCAAGGATTTCTGCCTTGAACCATGACCATGCTGGTGTTTGGTGGTTTTAGCCTGTTTTATTAAGCCCGCTCTGCCGTACATTTTAAAAAAATGTTTCTGTAGTTTGCCACACAGCGACCGGCTCCACTTGCTTTAACAGGACTAAATCAACCACTCAGGGAAAGCCACATATACAAGTACAATCACTTTTACTGCTGGTTGTGATATAAAGCCATATTTTGCACGGAGAATTAAAAAACTAAATTAACACATAATAAATGGTTGATTTAATGATTTGACATCTTAGTCAATATTGGTTAGTATTATTTTTGTTATCATAGCAACATTTTCTTCATATTTAATCAATGATTAACACGTTTGTCAAAAAACTTCCAACCTGGGTATCCATGAATTGGGGCTTATGACAGATATATTACATTGATAAACACATAAAAACGTCATGGCTGTTTAAAAGTACATTGTATAATCATTTGTTTTTGTTTTTATACTGCTTAAAAATGTAGAGCAGAAGGACGTTAAGAAAAATGCTGCCTTGGTTTATGGATTTTTTCCCAGGCAGTCCATGATAGTTTTCCCTCTCCCTTCACCTGTAGTAACCGACTGTTATTTTCATGGTCAGTGGTAATAGAGCCGCCTTTTTTCAAAGCCTAGATACTGAACATATGTAATATTTAAAAAATAATGTTGGATACATTCGGCCGAAACACATGGCCCATTTAAAAGTAACCTAAAACTGCACATCAGAGCAGAAATGTTAATTTGTTATATTCTGTTCCTATTTCCTTGACAAACATCTCTTTTGAGAAATTGAACAGGACATATCTCATGTCACTCATCATTAGTACATTTGAAGTGACGTCTATTACTGTGACGAGCAGGCATTAACAGCAATTGCTGTTTTTTTCTGACTGGGCTTAAATGTAATCCTACAACCACCTGAAGCTTTCAGGTTGCATTATGTGATGTAACTGTGTGAAATGTCTTTACTGTTAGTTGGGAAACTCCAGCCACCACTGACCGTGTCGATGTAGAAGGTGTTGGAGCCGATAAAGGTAACAGCTTCCTCCAGATCGTAGATTTGGACTCCATTTTGGTAGTCCTGATATGGCACCACAGTCAGAGCCAGGGGTCCGACCAAGTTCTTGCTCAGATTGGTCAGTTTTACCTCCAGGTTAACAGAGTCGCCCACTTTACATTCGGCGATGACATCACAGTCACATGGCTTCCCATTCACCAACACATCTGGAAAAAAGACGAGAAAGAGGATTAGCAGGACTTACGAGCAGCAGCTCTTTTGTCTAACGATTTGTACTAAAATAGAACTCTGAGGAATCTGGCGGGGACGAGAATGAAGACCTTTCAAACCAACATTCAAATCTGGTGCCCAGTCGTTCCCAGAATTCCTGTCCGATCTGTGCTTCTTTTGTATTCATCAAAACCCGACCAGACCATTAATGGCCCATCATAATGTTTCTGGTGGTGGATCAATAGGCTTTGTTTGTCCAGAAATACATTTTATGGACATGAATGGAGAGTGTAGAAGCTGTGGGTATTAAAACTGAATTCCATCCTGTTAATCGCATGAATGATTTATTTCAGTCAAGATAGGGATGAATGAAATTGTTGGAAATCCCCCCCCCCCCCCCACTCACGTGGCTATACCCCCCCTCTCTTGAGACAACCAACCAAGAAACACTGAGGGAGTGGTGCCCATTTGGCTGAGTTGCAGAGCGTGACACGATGATTTGTTTTGAACAGCAAGCTCAGTGAACTAAGCTCCTGTACACTCCTGGAAGGCCGAGGGGAAGACGGACTCCAAATGTTGGGGGTTCAGTTCAAACAAATAATGACTCCCCTGAGAATAACGGTGGCATACACACACAATCACACTCGCACAAAGCAGTTGTAATACACTTTCTAGTGTTGCGCCCATGGCTGTGATAAACACTGTGAGTCAAAGCAGCTGAGCCTGTGTGACACTCGGATGAAGAAGGGGGATGTATTGGTGGATGTGGGTGGTTGAGGCTGTGCTGTCATGGTCAGTGAGAGAACCCTGGGGAGGCAGGAGCTACAGGAGAGTGACATTCAGTTTCAAGTCTGTTTGAAAGAAACAGTGTGTGTGATTAAGTGGGAATCTATTGGCAGAAATCAAATATAATATTCATAATTTCATTGGTTTCTAAAAACTTGGAGCAGGTCTTCCTCTGTGGATTCTGCCATGTTGCGCTGCCATGTTTCTGCAGTAGCCAAGACAGGACAAACACTGGCTCCAGACAGGGCCTTGGAAGTGAGATCACCACAGCTCCTCAAATACACTGTATGTTTCCTTAAGCCCTGATAACACATGTAGGCTACTACAAATCCACATTTTAACTTAATTAATTAAAGTAGTATACAATTGTCAACATTCTACTATGGTTGCTTTTGGTCCAACAAAAAGACTGTGTATAAAGATAGATGACATGCTTCCCAAAAGGGAAGCCAAAACATTTTGATCTCCCCTGGTGGCTGGCTGCAGTATAGGTCATAAAAACTATGTCCTCCATGTTAGCCCCATGGACCAAAATAAAATGTCAAAGTACATGTTTTAAATAAGTTTTAACCAAAGATGGTTTCTATCATTTTCAGTAATTCTAATCCCATCGATAACACTAAATTCAAGTTCCATCCAACAGCATTCTGATGCAATCTGCTGCAAATGAGACCATGCAACAACATGTTTGTCCTTGTTGTAAGAAATTTTTTTTTTAACCAAATGTGGAAAGGCTAAGAAAGGTTTGCCATGTGGTTACATGAATAACAAGCATTCTTTAAACTGTAGGTGATGTTAATGACATGACAATTGCGATTCTAGTTCATTTGCTAAATGTATCTAGTTCAGACATCAATTCAAATGCCATCTAGTGATGGTGTATTGTAGACATTCATGCACACGCACACACATTGCATATAGCATTTCATAACCAGTAGAACTGATGCTATAGTGACACTTTAGCCAGTAGTTATATTTAGTTTGTTCAAAGTCTTGTTGCTAGGAGATGTGCAAATTATAGGTATCCTACATTGGCTCTAAAACTGTAAATAAATTATTTCACATTAAAAGCGAACAAAAGATGGATGGTTAGTCTGTACTCCCACACACTCCCACAGCCTGAGCACTTGATACAGACTTTGTCTATTTGTGATTGTGTATCAGCACTGAGACAATCAACTAGTATAGCTAACATTTCTCGTAAAAACAAGCAGTGGGAAGAAAAGGTGTCCTGCTCCAACAAGGATAACTGCAACTGTGTGCAAAATTACGTTTTATCCCAGTTGTGAGAAAATTAGCAATGATGAGATTAGACGACACAAGCTAATACCCACATGTTAGACTGCTCAGACATTACTTAAACAACCGAGAATGAGAGATAAAGGTTCCTGGTCATGGTTCTCAAAGGGATCTCAACAAACATCTGCATGTCCTCAGAGAGGAACTGAAAGGTCAAGACAAAACACTGCTTTTTAGATGCATCTGCTGTGTGTTCATGAGCTGAGTGCTGCAGTGTCTCTGGACCCGGGCTCTTTACTTCACCTCCACAGTGTTCTGGTTGGTAGGTATGACGGAGGCTTAGAGAGGGAAGCAGGGCTGAATAATCTCAGCAAAATACTGAATTGTTTTTCTGATTATACACATTGAATTCTAATTGAACTGGATAATTCTATTTGTGGAATGGGAAAGACTGGGATTGAGCCACTGACCCTTTGGCAAGAGGGCAAACCCGCTCTTTCCCCTGAGCCACAGCCATCGCCCTTTACACAACCAGTACGTTGTAAGGGTGGATGTTCTCCCTATATAAGATATATATAGTGTATATACCTGTCAGTCATTTACACTCAACTTTTGTGAGTGTAAATGACTTTGATGAGGTGGTCACTCAGACCATTTACGCATCTAAAAAAAAAAACAGTCCTTTTTTTTTCAAATGCTAAAATACTGTTATATTTAATTTAAAACAAAACAATTCTTACTAAACTTGCTTTGCCTGATGACAGCACAGTATGTTTACTGTTGACAGTTTTGTCATCAAAGCTGTTAAAGAAACGGTCACTTGTTACAGCTCATAAAGACATTAACTTTAATTATGCAACTCTCAATTAAAACTGCAATCTGAAAAAGACAATTAAACACAATCCGTTGCTCAGCCCTAGAGATACTAAGTCCTCGCTGCAAATCTTTTTAAAGGAACAGTTTTCAGCAGTCTTAACACAGACAAGACAGTCAGGGGTTTCTGCAGTTTGATGATGGTATTAGCTGGAGGGAGGAGGAAAGGAGGGAGAGCTGGGAAAATAAAGAGGCAGGTGAGCTGCAGAGAAGCAGTTAAGACAATCAGAGGAATGGTCCTAATAAAAATGGCTACAAACCACAGGATAGGTGAATGTCAGCAGGAAGGAGGATGAGGATTTGGAGGAAGAAATATCACTGCAACAAAAACAAAAATACTGCTCCAACAAGTGCTTTGCGAGCAACAGGTACATCACTCGGCAAAGGTGTTTGTAGAAAGTCTTAATAAAATAGTGTTTGTTAAAGGCCGACTGGGAAGTGTCAATTTTAATGTACCGGTTCACTGTGTTGACACAGGTTCATCATAAATGCGAGAGAAATGAGAGGTTATCATCGGACTATTAATTTCCTGACCATGCTAACCAGCAGCTACATTACTTTCAACATGTTATATAACATGTGAGCTTGGCGTTTTTTCAAGTACACACACACTCACACGCTCTGACCAGATGCTACTGCTGGAGCCTGCAGAGGCAAAGCGCTGCGGCAGGCGTCACCAAAGCAACCAGAAGATATATATATATATATATATATATATTTATATATATATTTATATGTGTGTGTAGAGAGAGAGAGAGAGAGAGAGAGAGAGATGACACCTACCTCCCAGATGAGTATGAAAGCCACAGATCAAACTGCTACTCAGAGATTAAAACGCTGCTCCGCCCCTCACTGTTTCACTGTCACCCATGAGGTGTGAACGCAGGTGAAGATAAAGATGACGACCGACAGATTTGCCAATGTTTACAAGATTATGCCGCATGTCAGCTTATTAAGATTCACTCACTAAATATTGTGCAACGAGAGGGGGAAGTGGACGAATCAGACACAAGCAAATATGGATGTCAAGTTCGTCACACCTTGCTTGAAAAGACATTTTTGAAGTGTGCAAAAGGAAATGCACATTAAAAAGGGGAAAGCGTGCTGCAAAAAATGATTTCATCAGAAATATGCTACATTGAACTGGAGCAGGTGTTTGTGTGTCTGTGTGTGCATAAGACAAGTAAAGGAATTTTTTAAATAATAGAATAGAAATATACAGTATATCAAAAGAAAGTATTCAAGTTCAGTTCCTTCAAAAAGGAGAATAAGGGTAGTGCATTTGAGTTTAGAAAAAGAACAAAGAAGAATACAAAAATCAATATCAAAGGATCACAAAATTCTTCATCCATGGAAAAAACATTATATACCATTCTGTCCAATAGTTGATGAGAGATTTCAGTCTGGACCAAGGTGAGTTTTGAGGTATACTACTGTGATCACTGTCATTAACAAGAATACCCTGAGAGAATAAGAGCCCATGGTTGAAGCCGAGCTGCAGGTTAACTGTACTTCAGTGGCAGTCTCTTTTCCTCCAGGATGAACATTAACAAAGAGTTGTGCTCTGGCCCAGATGACCAGGTCATCAGGGCTTAACAGCTCATCCTGGCCAGCGGCTGCAAGCCAGGCTGGGTCATTTGATGAATGCTCCGATGGAGCCGGAGGATGTGCTTTAAAAGGTTGAGGTGTGCTGCAGTAAGTCTAAAAATAACCTGCCAGCCTCTGATATCCCCATAAGCCATCTGCCCCCATTATAATTATTCCCACAACAACCACTCACTTGATGTCTGTTTTCTTTCCCTTCAGCCAATGTTAAAAGATTCCATCGGTTCTGATGAAAAGAATCCAGGAACACGTTCAGATATCATCTCACTCATTTGACAAGAAACATCTCCACATGCATCAGTTTAGGTCAGACGGCCTATTCATCTCGGCCGTCTGATGGATGCACCCCACAGGACAGCACTGTGGCCCCAGCACCATAACAGTCTGTTATAGTCTGATAGACGTGTTATGGCATCTGATGGATGGCAAATTAGTGAAAACAATGAAAGTCTAACTCAAATTTGCAGTTTTAATTTACTCACATTGGAGCTTA